TTGGTCGCCCTATTAGCAACTTAATATTTTCTGTGGGGTAATAACTAGATTTCTACAATAGTTTGGTTATACTATACTCCTTACTCGTTCATGATTTTTTCAGGTTTCTTGGATGTTGGCTTTGCTTTCTTAGTGGAACCTGAAGCTTCTCCATCTGATATAGCTGTTCAAGATATGGTGATAAAGGTCATATCTGTCAGTGGTGAGGGTCTCATATCGAATTTGGTGTATGCGCTACTTGGTGTATCCGCAATGTCAAGGGTAAGCACGATATCTTCGTAGTACATGGTTTTTCGTCATTTCCTTGTAGACAAATACCCGGTTAAAGCTAAACCTCCACTGATTATGATTTCACATGTGGAATATTGGTTGAGATTGCATTGGTGTATCATTCAAAAAATATCCTTGGATTTTCCCACGACTATGCTTAAGTAAGGCATCAGTTAGATGTTGCTCCCAATTTCTGAACACATGGAAGGTTGCTGCCCTTATTTGCTAATTTAATAGGAGAATCATACTGCTACGCCAGGATTTGTATATCTTTGCTTATTGCCTTGTGTGTTAGAATTTGAGTGACTGATGTTGCCTGGTAATGGAAGGATACATGATGTGTGCTTTATTGAGAGCTCAGGCTTGAATTGTTAGTGAGTGTGTGGATAGATTATATTTTGTCTCGTGCAGGTTCACAAGACGACAACTATTCTCCAGCAATTGGCAGCAATGTGCAGTTTAAGTGAAGGGACGAAGTGGAAAGCTCTTCTTTGCTGGGAAATTTTACAAAGATGGCTTTATTCTGCTGTCAGTCTCTCTCTCTCTCTCTCAACTGCTTTAGATTTTTTGTTTTTGTTTTTTAAATTTCCTGCTTCCGTGCCTGATAATTGATGCTTCTTCGATTTTTGTGTTTTGTAGCATTGTGACATTTTAGCAGCATTTCTCTTGTCTGAAAGTAGCTGTTTATTTGTTATATTTTAAGCTTGAGATATTTCAGTTACAGGTGCTGCCTTGTGAGTATCTAAAACTGGGTGAGGCTGAATCATTAGTGCCGATTTGGGTGAAGGCACTTGTTTCTGCAGCATCAGACTATGTTGAGAGCAGACGATGTGGAGAATTAAGTAATCATGAGCATATGCGAGGGAAAGGGGGCAGAGTTCTAAAACGTCTGTTGAGAGAATTTGCGGACAACCATCGCAATTTTCCAAATTTGACATGATAAAATTTAATAATATAATATATTCACCTCCTAATTTATTGAAATTTTTAGCCTCTACAGACAATTGATGAGCCATCAGTCCTGACTTGTCATTAGTTAGTCAGACGTATTGCATCCCCAGTTTATTAGCTATTGGTTTATTCTGTAAATTCATCATTTAACGTAATTAGGGTGGAAAAGAAGAGGAATAATGGAGGGATGCAAAATGGTGTGGATTAATGCCGCAGAAAAAAATCACGATATTGAAGTGATTGCGAGCAAGAAATTTGATAGAGTTTTCAAAGAGAAGAGGTCAAGAAAAGATGAAGCAAACATGCATGTGCCCTCGAACAGGACAGATGGGCAACAGGTCATGTTTATTCTGTCCTGTTAAAAAATGTGGGGTGTCATTCAGCTCTTGAGTCACTTTCGCTATCTCATAATACAGAAGATCAAAGAATATAATCATATATTAACGAAATATTCATGTTGATAAGCAGATGTGCTCCTCAATCTATCACTTGCTGGCAATTCTTTTACCAACCATGAAATCAGTTGAGGAATGTGGCTCACAATGATTGATAATAATGATGTAATGCTGATTCCTGAGTAGGTGTATTCACAAAAAAGAGGAAATAAAAAAATATGATTACTTGTTATGAACCGATTACCTTATGATATGGATATTATAATGGTTAGAATAGTCAAATAATAAAAAAGGATTAACAAAAAACTGGCATTTAATAAAAGATGGAGTAAATATTATTTAACATGAAAATGATTTTTACGGTTCATGTAGTATTTGTACTTGCAATTTTATTTTAGGATTCACGAATCGATACGTCAAATATAGGATATCCAAATTAATCCACAGTACAGTGGTCGGGTTGCCGACTGATCCGGAGTGCGGTCTTTTGCCTAAACGGCCCAAAATTAGATTTTCCTGTTATCCTGTCATCAGGATGGGCGACTGGATGATGCCTAACAAGAATCCAATGATTTGATGTGTGAATCCCTAATAAACTAAAAAAATAAAAATAAATACAAAAGAGTAGGGATCATTATTGTGTCGTCATTTTGAACAGCTTGTCTTGTCTGTGTAGTGTCATAGTGTGCAATCAAAAGGGGTGTGATTGCCATAAATGTATTTCTGACATTTTTTAGTTTATTGCGGCTTTAATTGATTGATAATAAGAAAATCATTATACTAAGATATGAGGTGAGTAGGAGCAACGTCAACGTAGCTGCCTGGCTCAACCTTGAAAAACTTGTATCTGGCTCACGGCAAAAATTCCAGTTGCTATCTATGGCGGTTGTCTTTTTCTCCTAGGCTATGCAATCGTAAACACTGTCCCAAATCCTGCTGTTAAAGGGAATAAATAAATACACTCACCCACACAAATAGATACCGAGACCGAGCCTAAACCTAATGCACTTGTATTTATTACAGAAAAAACAGCTGGTAATGACTAATTGTGTGCATGAGCAGTAATAAATAAACATAAAAGCTAAGCAGTTATGATATGAAGCAAAAAAAGAAAAGAGAGAGGGTTGGGTAGTGTGAAGGGGAAAAGGAGGATTTGGGAAATGGTAATTGGGGAGGGAACAGTACAAAAAATAATAACGTTCCAAGTTGCAGTATCGGACAATCCCCATTCTCTCCTCTACTTTACAACCCATACAAACAAAAACAAAAACAATACTATTACACAACCCCACCACCCCCTCTCTACTTCTCTTCACTTCCCTCTCTCTCTCTCTCTCTCTCTCTCTCTCTCCAGGAACAACCTTATTTTCTTCTTCTTTTTTAATTTGGTTAAATATATTTTTAAATTTGATGAATAAATTAATGCTTGTAATCGTTTGCCAAGTCTGATTCAACTCATTACAGAACATCTTGTTTGAAGCTTGATTAGCATCGCCATCGCAATCGCCAGATCCATCCGATTGTCAGTCAGCTCAGTGCTCCAATTCTCTCCATCTCGAAATTGTTTCTCTGTCGGCATACTGGACCTCCCTTTCTGATTCATCTCTACTTCTTCTTTATGACAAGGTTTGAATTTCTCTCATTTTCTTCTGATTCAATCATCATTTCCTTCGTTCTAACTCACTAGTCTGTGTTTTGCCACTTCCTTTCTCCATCATTTGCTTGATATTATTTTGTTTGTCTCCCCTGACCTGACTGCCTAAGTTCATTCTTCAGAAATCAATAAATTACTTTGCTGCTCGAATTCCGACTGTTGAACTGCGACTGTGTACTGGTTGTTAAAATGTTATTTTATCCACCATCATTTACATTCTGCCATTCCAAAAGTGATGGAATTTTTGCATAGAAGAAAAGAAGCTTTCAGAACAAGACAAAGATTATCATTACATTCTATACAATTCTTTTGATTTGTGTCTCTTCTTTATGCAATAAATGCAATTGTCAGCCTCTCATGGTTAATCTCTGCATTTTCAAGTTTATATGGTAACCTACTCATATATGTAAAATCTGAATTTCAGCTTCCATGTATGATAATCTACTTTTATCAAAACTGCCAACTCTCTAGCTGAAGTGGATCCCAGACCAAATGTCAAGGACTCTTGCAGCAATTTTAGGAGGTGCTGCAGGAGCCGTGGCATTGGTGGGGCTGCTGTTTATCATTATCTTCTATTGTGTCTTTCGAGGCCGAAACGTGTCAAGAACATCCGAGACAGGTTCTTCCGATCCATCTGTTCAAGGTATCATTTGAATTTGTGTGGACAAAAGTATCTTACCCCACATGCTTCATTAGAGGTATCAAACGTTAAAAAAGTTTTTTGATTGTGCAGTAGAGAGAGCCGCTGGGATCGAATTTACCTTACGAGATGCTAGGAGGTTTGCAATGGATGAATTGTCATCTGCAACAAGAAATTTTAGTGACAAGAGTTTGATTGGACAAGGAAAATTTGGCGAGGTGTACAAAGGATTGCTTCATGATGGGATGCTTGTAGCAATCAAGAAACGACATGGATCCCCCAGTCAAGAGTTTGTCGATGAGGTAACTGGGTAATTATGAAATCATTGTTTATTAACTCTTAATCTTATTTAGTTGGCATGCTTTTAACATACAACCTGGAAAGAAAATCTAAAAGCAAGGTGTCCTTGTCAATGGATATTTTGATCATTTTTCAAAATTTTGCTGGTCCTTTTTTCCTCTTCTAAAGTTTGAAACCAAATTATAGTTGACTGATTGAACATGCGCGCACCTGGAAAGGAAATCTAAAAGCAAGATGTCCTTGTCGATGGATGTTTTGATCATTTTTCAAATTTTTGCTGGTACCTTTTTTCCTCTTCTACAGTTTGAAACTAAATTATAGTTGACTGATTGAACATGCGCGCCATAAACCTGCTACACTAGCATCTCTTTCATTAGTTGGATGCTAAATTGTCACATATTGACAGCAGGATCGTTGGTATTACTTTTTTCCTTATAAGTTTTTAGTAATTATAGATTTGAAGCTAAGTTTGTAGTTCATTTCGTATCAGGTCCGATATCTTTCATCTATTCAACACCGAAATCTGGTCTCCCTTTTAGGTTACTGCCAGGAAAATGATCTACAGATACTTGTCTATGAGTACATACCTAATGGAAGTGTTTCCATTCACCTGTATGGTAATCATTTTTTCTCCACTTCTTCGTCTTCTACCTTTGTATATGTGCTGGTTCATGTATTTACTGTGTGAATGAATTACAACCAACTCAATTAAGTACAGCAAACCTCTAATATGATGGTTTTTCAACAAAATTTGATGATGCCACAATTTTGTTTTCAACCTCCTCCGTTACAATATTCTTATTCAGATAATAGCTCCACACTGTCCCCATTATACACTTTGTCTTCTCTTAAACCTTGTTTTTGTTATCCTGAACTCTTTTTTTGCTCTTCCCATTTGTTTTCTATTGTTCCAGATCACCACTCCCCTAGTGTCTTCTCTATTTTTTCTGAGTTCTTCTCATCTATCTCAATGTCTTAAACTCAGGTGCTGGTCAGGTCTCGCAGGAAAAGCTAGAATTCAAGCACCGGCTTTCTATTGCTCTTGGGGCAGCTAAAGGTGATCCTCTGCAAAATCAGTGAGCATTTTTGGCTTTCCTCGTACTAGTTTATCTTATAATGGTGAAAAAGAATAAAAGAGGGAAAAAAAATCTAATAAGCACTTATATAAGGTTTCTGCAATATTTGAGGCTCTTGTCAAATTTCTTTTACGTATTTCAGAATTAAATGTTGATTGTGTGTTCCTCTCATTCACATGTTTTGACTTTGTACGTTCAGGTTTGGGTCACCTTCACTCCCTCAGTCCTAGATTGATTCACAAGGATTTCAAAACAGCAAATGTCCTTGTAGATGAGAATTTCATAGCTAAAGTGGCAGATGCTGGGTTGCGCAATTTTCTTGGAAGATTTGATCATGCTGGCTCATCTTCCCAAATGGGAAATGATGAGATTTTCCTTGCTCCAGAGTAAAAATAAATAAAAAAATGCTATCTGATGATGTGATACACAATTCACTTTCATATTTATTGATTGAAACTTTCTTGTAAATGTGCAGGGTCACTGAATTTAGACGATTTTCTGACCGAAGTGATGTTTACAGTTTTGGTGTGTTTCTTTTGGAGCTAGTAAGTGGTCAGGAAGCAAGAGGCTTGCTATCTTCAGATGTCAATCAGAATCTGGTTGATTGGGTATAATTGCTTTTCACAATCACACTGCGTTTATGTATGTTGCGGGACTTCTTGTTCACAGATGCTGGAACTAAACCCTGTCTTTTAAGAATGACTCCTCTGTATTCGTTACTGAACCACTACAAGTTCAATATTTTGGTCCTCCCAACTTATGGTACACAAAGATTGAGATACCACTTGCCCCTCGAATCAATTCAACCCACTGCCTTATAGCTATGTCAAACTACAGATTCTAAAGTGCTATGTCATTTGCGTAGAGGAAAATAATAGTATTGATCAATATGCAGGCTCATTCTCTTCCTCCTTTCAGGTTCAAAATCTTCAAGAGTCTGGCAGTATATCAACCATTATCGATAGAAGATTAGGTAATAGTTTTACGAAAGAAGGCATGGAGGAGTTGATACAATTGATAATTCACTGTGTGAACTCGTCAAGTGAGAGGCGTCCTCCCATAAGCGATGTTGTAACTGAACTTGATCGTGTTCTTGAGAAAGAAATGAGCTTGACCACGATCATGGGTGAAGGAACCCCAGTCGTGACACTGGGAAGTCAGCTTTTTAGGACTTCAAAATAATAAAAAAGCTGAAAGACCAAAGCCAACAATCATCCCAGCTGTTGATAATTGTATAAAAAACAGTTGGATATTTTTTTTTGATATATTCCGTTCTTTTTTTTTTTTTAATTATGTTATTGTAAACAAGTTCCTATACATTGTTCATATTATAGTTGTGGCTTGCGTTAGTGGTTTGTTAGTTGAAACACCAGGCCTTGTTCCTTGTACTGATGCTTTGCTTGAATGTAATTTAAGCTTCAATGTAATCGTGAGTGTGTTGTGGTTTACTTGCTTTATCTATTCGTAGCCTGCGTGCTCTAGCAGTATTCGTTGCCCCCTCCTTCAAAACTCCGGAGGAGACTGTTTGGTTGTTCTGATTCCCAACAGAAAAAAAAAAAAAAAAAATT